CCCTACATCTGCATAGGAAGGAATAGGTCTGAGAACTCATTGGGCTGGGAGGGCAGTCTAGAAAGCAGCGGTCACTGTGTGTAGCCTTCCCATCACTCACTTGGCCTACATATGCCTGACTCCTGCGTGCACCATTTATGTTACTGAATTATCATTTGTGGTTTATCCCTTGGTGAATCCTCTCCCACTCTTTGTCTGCACGTACACATGCTTTGCAACCCCTCTTCCCCTCCTGGTGTACACATTTGGAAAGCAGAAAGGCAGCTTTCAGTCTGCGAGTATTAGATTCCCGATGTATGAAAAACAGAAAAGCAGCTTCAAATGTGCTTGTACTGGGTTTCTGAATCAATTGGAGGCTGATTTACAGTCCCATGCTCATCTTCCTGTGCTGTGTGATTTTGGTTTTACTGTATCAAGCCCTGCCAGTTACACCTTTCTGATCTTTTATTTTTGTCACTTCAAATGGCTGTTGATGGAGAGCCCTCACCTTGGTGCCAAAGCGTGTTGATGCATGTGATACATTTTGGACACTCTAAAACTAACCCTGTAGGGGGAAAAAATAACCCTAAGTCAAGGCCCCACTTTTTTATGGTGAGTATTTTGTGTGTGTGTGTACCTGGAAGTCATGGTTGACTTCTGGTGACCCCTAGTGGGGCTTGGACATTTCAGAGAAGTAGCGTGCTATTGCTTGCCTCTCCGTCCCCCCGAGTCCTGGTATTCCTCGGTCTCCCTTCCACTTACTTGCCAGGGTCAGCCTTGTTTAGCTTCTGAGATCTTGCTTGGGTTATCCAGGTCAGGGCATCAAGGTCCCACTTCTGACTCTGGGAGACTGGAGATAGAACAGAGGGTTATTCCATGAGGGATGGGGAGATGGTTCAGTGGCAGAGCCTTTGCTTTGCAGGCAGAAGGTTCCAGGTTCAATCCTTGGCATCTCTGGGTAGGAGGTGATGTGAAAGACCTTTGCCTGAGATCCACATCTTATTGCGACCAGCTAACTGGAAACCAGGGTTCATGTTAAGCGTGCCAGTGATTGCTGCCTGGGAGACTGTATGGAATGCAAGGGAGGAGATAGCAGAGTTTTCCTGTGCAGGGTTTCCTTTCCATTTTAGCACATGCTTTAGCCAGGCAGTTCTCTAGCGCGAGGCAGGATAAATTCTTAATCCCAAGGTAAACCACCTTCAGCTGAATGAGAGGAAGTCATACCACAGAGAATAAAGAAAACAAAACCTCGGATTTATAGCCAGGCTGCTAATTTCTGTGCAAATTGGAAGGAGTCGTAGCCTGGTTGACCTCAGTGTTTCATTTCAAGAGCAGGGTCTCTGTTTCTCAGACCAGATTGATGTGGCGTGAGCATCTAAAGAGATCGGCCAGGGGTAAAAAGAGGACTTCCTCTCCCACTGGCCAAGTAGTCAGGGACTCTCCCCTCAAGTGCCATTGGGAAGGGACCTAAAGACAGAGTGGTGAAAGAAGGTGGCTCTCCATCAGCCTCCCTTCCCCTCTTACCTGATGAAGCTAATTTCTGCTAACCCATGTTGGTCTTTCTGTGATCGCAGCACCATAATATTAATTAGCCTGGGTAAATACTGAAATGATAGTTAATTACAGTATGTAGAATGTTCAGAGACTTAAATTAGATATGGAAGCAGGATCTGTAGATACGCTAGCAATTAATGCATGTAAATATTTGAGATAATGCTAAGTACAATTACGGTTACCATGTGGATCTCTGTCCCAGCCATTGTAAGACAGAACATATCATGTAGTACTATCCATATTCTGTTTTTATACCACATAAGCTCCCATCCAAGGAATGGGCACCACAGCTATGGAGTATCTCTCCATGATGTGCCAACAGAACATGGGGCGTGCGCTCGTGCAGCATGCAACTAGAACATGTAAAGTGAGCATCAGTCAGAGCCCTCATCCCTAGAGATTGATGCTGGCAATATCTTACTAGTGTCCCAGTTCATGAAAACCTTTGCTTTATATACACAACACCATTGGGTGAGGGCATATGAGCACGTTTTGTGTTTCTACAAGACAGATGAGCAAATTATGAAACCTCCGGCCCATTTTATCAGTCCCTTATTATCTGATGCTTGGAGGCAGCTCGCTCCAAAGGAAAAATTGGGGGTGAAACAACCCATGACACAACAGTCATTGTAAACAAATCGGCTCCAAGGAATAGCCTGTGTTTCCTTTGATGCAGCGGGTTGGGGGGGGGAACAGGGAGAGGCAGGCACAATTGAACTGAAGAATATGCAAGCTTCACTGCTTTCTTAGCTGTGCCCCACCTGCTGCAACCTGCCCATATTCCAAATAGCGCTGAAGGTAAACCGTACACACTTTGTCTGTAAAAAGGTGTAAATTGGCATGATCTTGCTGAAGCCCTGCCAAAGACAGAGGGAAATCGTTGGCAGCCAGTTCTGGATGTCAGAAAACAGAAGCCAGCAGATAGAGCAAATTCTTTGGCCACCTGCAGTCGGGGCTGGCCTAACCATTATGTTAAGTGCTCTACAGAGCAGGGCCTTCATCACATTTTAGCTCCTGTGGTGGCTTCATTACCTGAAGTTTCTCCAGTCCAGGAAAATATAAATACCTTTCTCTGTGGGATGGGAATCTTCCACCTGAAATGCGGTAGCTCTTTTCTGATCAGAACAAAGAGGAACAATGACTACTACTCACATTTCCACCTTGTGGAACCCCGAGCAGGACTGGGGGGAGGGAGAGAGGAAGGAGCAAAGTGGGACAGTTCTGGACAGCGAAACAAGGATAGGTGGCTCTAGAATGGCATTGGCATAGCACCCCTCCTGCCTTGGTCTTTTCATGTTGTTTACTGGATATCTTGGTGGCCACCTTTGGGTGGAGATGAAGGGAAGCAGGAGTGCCCAGCAATAAAGAGCAGAGGACCGAACATTTCTCAGACTTGCAAGGAGCATCAGCAAAAAGAGTGCATGAGTTAAGAGGAAACAGAATGTCAAAACTACCATGTATGTGAACGTCAAAACCAATACTGGGGAAGCCAGTGTGTGAAGAGGTGCTCTCCTTCTTTCTGCTGATAAGCATCACCCAGGTTTCTTCCACTAGTTGTTGTTGCTCAGTCGCACAGTCGAGTCCAACTCTTCGTGACCCCATGGACCAGATCACGCCCAGCCTTCCGGTCTTCCACCGTCCTCTGAGGTTTGCTCAACTTCATGTTCGTTGCATTTATGACACTGTCTAACCATCTCATCCTTTGCCGTCCCCATCTTCTTTGACCTTCAGTCTTTCCCAGCATCAAGGTCTTCTCCAGTGAGTGCTCCCTTCTCATTTGGTGGCCAAAGTATTTGAGCTTCAGTTTCATTATCTGGCCTTCCAGGGAACAGTCAGGGTTGATTTCTTTTAGGATTGACTGATTTGATCTTCTTGCAGTCCAAAGGACTCTCAAGAGTATTCTCCAGCACCATAGTTCAAAAGAATCTATTCTTCGGCGCTCGGCCTTCCACTAGTTCACCAGCACCAAAACTTGTCAGAATGTCATTCAGACCTGGCTTTCCTGATAGGGGTTAGATGCTTCCAGTGTTTCTGTTCTCCCATTGGCTTCAGAATTTCCTGAGGCTCGCGGTCATTAGAACTGGATCTTTCTTGACTCATCAGTCTGTGTCACATGAGCCTATCAAGCTTGCCTTAAGAACATAAGATAAGCCAATGTTGGATCAGGCCAATGGCCCATCCAGTCCAACACTCTGTCACACAGTGGCCAAAAATACCTGGTGCCATCAGGAGGTCCAGCAGTGGGGCCAGGACATTAGAAGCCCTCCCATTGTTGCCCCTCCCCAAGCACCAAGAATACGGAGCATCACTTGCCCCAGACTGAGAGTTCCTATCTATACCCTGTGGCTAATAGCCACTGGTGGACCTCTCATCCTTGGAGGGTGGAAGGTCCCTATTTTAATATATAGAATACTCGCTGGAAGCCATGTCACTGTGGTTATAGCAGCTGGGATATGACAATGTGTGGAGTGAGTCAGAAGGGATGGATTTTTATTGCTCCGTGGAGATATGTCGCATGCCTCAATGCACTGCCTGGATGGCTGGAGCTCAACAGAGAGTCTTCTCTAAAAGATTAATTAAAAAAATGTCCCTTCCGTTTCTTCCAAGCCCTGCTCAATAAAGGACACAAAACTCTTGTCAGTTGTGGGGAGACATATTGCCCTTTATAGGCAGAGGTTAACTGATAATCATAACAGCAAGAAGGGAGCATATTGCCTATAGGTGGAAGCAACTTGGCAGGGCAGTTCACTTGCCCTGATTTAGAGGCCTTAAACTCTGCAGGAAGAGCAGTTGTTATTGGGTGACTGCAAGCTAGAATTGCCTACTTTGGCTTTGGAAATTCCTGAAGATTTGGAGGAAGTGCCTGTGGAGGGTGTGATGCCATAGTAGAGTTGCCAACCTCTGGGTGGGACCTGGAGGTCTCTCAGAATCACATCTGATCTCCAGACTGCAGAGATCAGTTCCCCTGGAGAAAATGGCTGTTCTGGAGTGACATTATACACTACTGAGGTCCCTCCCCTCTCCAAACCCCACCCATCCCAGGTTCTACCCCCAAGTCTCCGGGAATTTCCCAACCACAAGCTGGCAACCCTATACAGAGTCCACCCTCCAAAGCTGCCATTTTCTCCAGGGGAAATGATCTCTCTAGTCCAGAGATTAG